GGGGGGGGGGGGGGGTGCTCTCCAGTGTGCTTGGCAGCAAACCCGGAAGTACTTCTGGTCCACTTCTGTGTCTGCCAGGGAGAATACTGCGCCCCCCCCTCAGCTCCGCAATTGGCTGCAGGGGGACCCTGGGTGCCCACCTAGACCCAGGAGACACCAGTTCCCGAGCCGGGGGAGTGCGGGGCCCCCCCCACAGATCAGGAAGTGGACTAGAAGTTCTTCTGGGTCTGCTGCCAAGTGCACTGGGAAGCCCCCCGTGCTTCAGTGGGACACTGCATCTGCCCCAGCACTGCAGCGTTCAGAACCCCTGCTACCTAGAGGTATATAGAAAAAACGTTTAAAACTGTATCTACGTCCAAATCTCCAAATCAATTCAGAGGGTTCCAAATTGATTTGGAGAGAATAAAGGGTTCGCTGATTAGATTTGGAAATTCGGCCACCAAATCTCCACCGACTTGAATCAGGGACCAAAGCTTTGCACAACCCTAATACCCGAGTATTTCCCTTAATCCACTTTAGAGTTCTGTATGCACCCTGCATACAAAGCACCCACAAATAGTAGTTAATATGTTTTTAGTCAGTTTATATGACTGTTTCCAGCACCTAGCATGAATCTTCCTCAGGGGCTAGCAAATGGAAAATAAAATTAATTCCAAGTTGAAAATTGATACAAGTTTGAGGCTCAAAGTTAGATACTAATTTTTTGGTCAGACTGCAGGTTTTGAGAAAGGAGGGGAATTGGTGGAGAAGTAGATGAAAAGAGAAGAGAAAAAAGTCCATTTGATAAATTTATATGTTAACAGTGTAGAATATAATTTCCTCAGAACGTAATAAATTAGAATTAGGCATGAAAGCCTAATATAAATGAAGTTATTTTTAAAATAAGAGCAACCCATTTCGATTCCCAGAATACTGATAAGGGATGCACATTATGCACTTTGTTGGGGTCAAACTCTAGGACTGCACACTAAATTTAACAATTCCCAGCTGCAATGTTAGTCAATACATGGGAATGCTTCAATTAAACTAAAAGAAAAATCAGCACGTACAAACCTTACATTAAAAGGACATTTATTTAAAATGTGAAGCTTAAGCATTTGTACTGGGTAAACTGCAACTTCAAAAGCACCGCATGATGCATATGCATGTATTAGAAAATTTATTAAACTTTAATTTTATTTGTAAAAACAAAATTACTTGAAAAAAATATCAAATGCATATTATAAGGATTAGCTCAGTGATATGTGGGAAGATTTATAAAAAATAAATGTATTGAGCAATTATGTAACTTTTGAAAAAAATATTTTTATTCCCATAACATGATGTCTTTCCTTGCCAAATGACCCTTGGGCAGCAACCTTTTTAAAACATCAGTACACAAAAATAAGGGCTTATAATACACATTGACTGCCAATTAAAACTTTAGCATTGCTAGGGGTAGAACTGTACTATGGCTATGTGCTATGCATCATGGCTGTAACTTTTCCTGGAGGAAACACTCATTAAAAAGGCATTTATAAGTATTTAACATACAGCAAATTAAAATATGCCCACAAGGGAGGTATTAGGGGGGCCTAGACACACAAAACACTGACATCTTCCTATTTTTATTGGAGATATTCAATTGACAGTTCAGTTCCTTTAGCAATAACATTACACTAAATATTCAAAGCTGAACTTCACTAATATTATGGGGGGGTTGTTTTTGGGAACTATTTAACCTCACACACAAGTGGCAGCTAAAATTAAACTCACTTGCCCACTGGGGTGGTAATTATTTCTTTTATTACTAAATTAAGTTAGTAATTTTGATTTAAATTCTTAAGCCATGCTTGGCACTGATGTTTATTTAGTAAAAATCTAGTCAAACTTGTATCCAAGACAGATTTACTGAGAATTCAAAAAAATACCTCCTGACTCTGTTCTCAGTCAGAACTTAGATTTTTCTTATTATACTGAAGTTAAATGTTATGTTAAATAATGCTTCTTCAAAGCATCTTTAATGGATTTTTAAGAAAGAAAATAAAAGTTTCATTGAGCATGCCGTTTTAAACTTGAACAAACCTGTCCCAGTTTATAATCCGTGTTTCCTAATTCTCGCTCAGTATTGATCTGCAGCAAAAGCTTTTCGTGGCTGATAAGAGCCGCTGAAAGAGAGAAATTTTTTTTTTAGCAAATACGTAAATTAATCTAAAAACTAGTTTATTTTCTGTATGTTTGCAACAGCTGAGAACACAAATGATCTGGGGAGGAGGGGTACAGCGATATACCTCCCTTTCAGTCAACCACACTGCTCAGCTAGGGACAGCAGCTGCAGACAGGGAAGAGAAACATGCTGTTCAGCACAGAGGGGAGGGAGGGGAAAGGGAAGAGTCTTACCTGCTTGAGGGACTTGATAAAAATCCACAACTGCTGCTCCTGCCACAGCTTTCCCTCCTGCATGTGTGCGTGTGTGGGGAGGACCTCCACGATGTATACGTGGGAACTGGGTTGCAACCACCCCTGCAGCACAGGCTGCTGCTTCTACCACCCCTCTCCCCTTTCCAAAATCCTGGATGCACCCATGCAAGTATAATTTGTTATTCTTCCCACCCCCCACAAGGAGCAATGCAGGCCACTGCAGAATTGAAGAATCTTCCACACAATTGGCCATTAGATATTTACCTGTGGTAGCAGGAGAAAGTGATGGAACAGGGTCCCAGGCTTGGTATAAATGGTGTGTTGCAATATTATCTCTCTTGGATACCATTGCTTGGATTTCTTGTTCCACAACTCCTCTAACAACACTTAACTTCCTCCCAAACCTGAAAGGCCAGCAGAAATCAGAATGGTGGTTTAAGGAGACTTTTTTTTACCAATATTTTCCTGTCAATTTGAGTATAAAACGACTACCTGTAGTATACTCATTTTGCCAATTACTGCTTTAAGGGAAGTCAGTCAGCTGAGATGCAAGTATGCAGACTGGCTGTTTAAATAAGCTTGAAATCTGGCTTGAAGTTGCAGTTTACTCCTCTTTCAGCATTACCTTAGAATCCCACAAAGTTCTTAGTGTCATGCAACTGCTATGATTTACTATGACTAAATAAATGTGCCCCGTGTATGACATTCCATATAGTTTTGCTTAATTTCTAATTTGTCCACATTTGTGTTATTGCTAGATTAAGCTATTTTGCTTTCAGGTAATCTATAGGCAAGTATAAAACACACATGATTTCAGAATTGGTGAAATACCTTGTATCCAGAGCTTTTAAAGCTTTGTTGCGGGGCTGCTGCTCCAAACAACTAACTGCTGGATTGCCTGCCACAGGTATTGTCATTGCGCTCAGCACCAATGAGGTTATGGCTTGTACTGCAAGAACATTAATTTGGGTCCTCTCCGTGTCCTCCTGCAAGAAGAACATACAGGCTCTTAAACTGAAAATGGAACGTTCAAACTACAGAAGACACACTGCCTGATGCTGAAGACAATCTTCGCTCTTAGTAATCCTACAGGAAAAAAACCCACAACCAAACAACTGGGCAATGTGTCTTCTGATACTTCCTCCCAATCAAAAAAAAAATCAGGCTACCAGCAGTTCAGCAAGGTGATGATGAATCACTGCCATACTTCATCTCTGGATCCTGCTCACCACCTCCTTCACACATGAAAGAAAAAATGGTACCTCTCAACAACGTACAATTCTGATCTCTGCTTCAAAAAACTGCCTACTCCCAAGTTTCTGTGTTCACGTGTGAACTTAAGTGAATTTAAAATCTTCCCCTAAGCTTTATGATATTTATTTGGGGATTTTGGTCCAGAACTATCTAAATCAGCCATTGGGGTGCTTCTTCCCCAAATGCCCCCAAATGTTTTCAGAAAGCTTATTTCAAACATTAACATTTTTTTTTCCATTGTTGGTATATTTATCAATCTTTGGTGTATTTAATATTCTTTTTTTGTGGGGTTTTTTGTTAAAACAATACAACTCCCATTAGTATCACACAGCACCCCTCAAGCTGCAATGCATTTATCTTGCTTGGGAGGTAAAGAAACAGTACTTTCCCTATGTTACAGATGGGGAACTACAGCAGAGAGAATAAGCTGCAGATCCACAAACAAACTTTTAAGTGCCTGGCTCCAGCAGTGAGATTCACAAAGCTGAGTTAGGAACCTAAGATCCTTAAATAGTGAGGCGTGAAAGCTAGGCTTGTAAAAATGATTTCTAAAACAGGCAGCACAGTCAGTGGGGAGATGTCTATGCCAGTCAACAGGGAACGATGAAATCCCACCCCTTTACTGGACTTTGGCGTGTACCTAGTTTTGACTTGAGAACCTGTCCGCAAAACAGGGATTCAAAATCTGAACCTGTTTCTTGGACTTTGGGTATGGACAACTAGCTAATTTTAAGACAAAGATGGCAGTGGATGCGCTTGCCTTTTTAATAATACATCAAGTGCTTAGTGAACTCACTCAGGAAGCAGATGACCTGAATTTCAGGATCTCAACCCTCACATCTCCCGCATCCTATGACGGTGCCCTAACCACCAGGCTATAGGCCGGGGTGGGCAAAATGCGGCCTGCAGGCCAGATGTGGCCCGTCAGACCATTCTATCTGGCCCGCGGGGACCCTAAAAATTTAGGAAAGTTAATATTTATCTGCCCCTGGCTGCCTGTCATGTGGCCCTTGATGGCTTCCCAAAACTCAGTAAGCGGCCCTTCGCCCAAAATAATTGCCTGCCCCTGCTATAAGCTATGCCAGCCTTCACACCCCTGCAGAAGCTGAAACACTGCATAAAAAGAAATGCAAGATTCATATGGCCAGGGAAGACAACCAAAGGGTAACATGAGACTGCATCCCAGTGATAGGGTACCTCCTCGACAGCAGGAAGCTCTTGTGGATTTTGACCCCAGCTCCAGGGACTGCTTATGCATTTTACCCAGTAGCTGTCATGACTTAACAAGTTCTCTCCATTTGACTTCTACCTGCCTTTTCATTTAAAAGGAAATCATTCAGACTTGAAGCAGTACAGTTAGTTAGTCACAAGTCATCAGAAAATGACTTTATTAAGGTTCCAAAATCAGAGACTTTGCTACATGCCATACACATGGCATTGGCACAAGGCTATTCTTAAAGTTTATATCAAACTAGTTTTTACATAAAAAGGGAATATGAATACAGCAACTATATCCAAGTTGTTCCTGCTGGAATCTTATCTACTGTATTTCATGAGTTTCATTGTGAATATTTAGTTTCCTATAACAGAGTTCGTTGCTTGCAACCTTTCTGGGCTTTCTGCATATGCTCAACAATTGTGATAATCTATTTATTTGGAGCATATTTTTAGCAATGAATGAATGACACAAAGGTAATAGAGAGGGTTTTATTCAAAATTTCTAGAACTACTCCCTAGAGATGGAGGTTTCAGCATAGCAATTTAATGTTCTTGGCCCTGTAAGTCGGAAAATGCAGAAGTATCAGATGAAGACCTCTGAGAGGAACTGTCCATTGTAATCATCTGCCTAAAGTTCCAATTACTAATGCAGAAAAGCATCCCCACTACAGAAAACAGCTGCCAAACTGCTTTACCTCTTGTTGGCTTTCTTCCTGGTCCATTACAATTGGCTGTGTTACCAGCACACCAAGAAGAGTAGCCCATGTTTCTTCAAACTGGGTACGGCTAGTCCACCCTGTGAAAAAGGGTTTAGAGAAGTCAGGTCATTTACTACTTGAATGAAATGTTCACAAAAAGTATTTTAAAATGAAGTGCCGTTTCCACAAATGTATTTTTTACATTACACCCCATTTACTTTCAGTTTATTAGTTGCTGCGATCTAAATCTGTACTATTCAATTTTTTAAGTTGTTAAATCTGATTCACTAGAACCCTGAACATAGCAACTGAAGTGATCCTATTCTGGTTTACTTCCAGGGTACAATTCCTTTTGTTTTGTTTGGGTTTTTTTGGTTTTTGTTTTGGGTTTGTTTGTTTTTTGTTTTTTTACTTAAAAAGCTAAAAAGCTCAGTAAACAAAAATCCAAAACCAGGTTTTCATAACTCTAAAAGCTTGTCTATTTGGCAGCAAAGAAAATTGTGGAGTGACCCTTAAAAAGATTTAACATTCATTGAAAACTCATCCCAAGAAGGAAGAGGTTTTAAGAGGAACCCATTTTATGAAATTCAAATAATGCAGATTTCCCCATCAGATCCTTGACACATTCAACACCATGATAGATTTATAAACTTCTATTATACTATTTTATATCTAAAAAACAAAAAGTAAGAATTTTTTCCCGACACTGAACATTCAAAGTGATTAAAAAGAACTAATCATGCAATGTAAAATTATCAAATATTAAACCCTCATTAAAAAGTGTTTTCTAAATATATGGAAAATACATGTTGCAGTTTAACACAACTCATTTGGTAGGAAAGAGTGCAACAACTGTACATAAGCCTTCATTTTTCTTTTCAAAAGTTTAAAGTAAATACAGCATAACTTACCATTAGTATCAAACATAAAGAGTAAACTAGATGGTATATCTAGTTTCTAGTATTTGCATGCTGCATATAAAAACCAATTAGGTTTTTCCCTATAGTAAAAGGGACAAAAATTCCAACAAAGAAATAGTGTTTGCTAAGCTGGCAACACAACAGGCTATTACAGAAAAATCTCTCTTGACAATTAAGCAAAATGTAACTATCAACAAATTAAATTTTTTTCTATTTTAATCTTTAAAACCCCAATTCCTCTTCTACAGATACTGAAAGTTAGTAAGCTGTATCAAAACTGAATTACAGTCATTTTATAACATTGACCACACACACAACATGTTCATTTTAATTTGAGATTGAAGTAGAATTTCAAGTCTACGATCCAGAAAGGAAAGATAAAATCCTATTCAGGATCAGATGATATTTTAGCTTAGTAAACACTGTCTGTTAAGTTTCAGAAGAAGTATTATATAGCGGTTCATTTCTGCTTTTACTAATAAGATGTGTTTCTGAAACTTGGTTCATACCTAAAACTTACCTGACATGGGCAAATGCTCCATTATGTATTAAACAGTAAAAATAATGGTTCCTGCCTTGCTGAATTACCTTTCATGTTTCCAACTATTTGGTAAGCCTGTCAATATAAAAAACACCCTGTAGCCTTACCAGCCTGAGAGAAACAAAGGGGGTAAGAGTGTTCAGAAGCCACCGTGGCTCAGCAAGGGCATTCAGCAAAGCCTGAGGACTAAAAGGGGGGCGTACAACCAGTGGAAGGGAGGAGCCATCACCAAGGAGGAGTACTCCTCGGCCCGTCAGTGCAGGAGGGCTATTAGGAAGGCCAAGGCAGAGATGGAACTCAGGCTAGCGTCCAAGATTAAAGACTACAAAAAGTCCTTTTTCAAGTACATGGGGAGCAAGAAGAGGGCACCAGGCAATGTAGGGCCCCTGCAAGACGCAAACAGTAATCTTGTGGCTACGCCACACAAGAAAGCTGATATTTTTAACAGTTGCTTTGCCTCTGTTTTCTTGAACAGGGACTGGGACATCCCACCTACCAGAGATAAGGACAATCTCAGGGATAGCTCTGTCAGGACTTAAGTCAGCACAGATGCAGTTAGGGATCTTCTGGAAGGGCTAAATATTTTTAAATCTGCAGGTCCAGATGCCCTCCACCCAAGGGTGTTGAGGGAGCTGGCAGGGGTCA